AAGGGCCCCCCTAGATCCGAGCCCTTTGCCACCCTGCAAAGTGGGAACGAGTGGGAGCCTTGTCTCTTACTCACCTGCACTTGTGGTCGAGCCTGGGAGCAGGCAGACACCGCCCCACAGCCAGGCTTTGTCTGAGGATCAACTGGGCATGTGAGATGACAGAGGAGGTACTGGGTGGGCCCGATACCTTGGATGTTGTAGGAAGATGTACGTCCCTGAGATGTGAAGCCTCCTGGAATTTCAGGCTGCCTCTGGTCTTAACAGAATGTGGGTTGGTGATGCAGAGGATGTGAGTAGGTGATGTGAGTAGATGATGCAGATGGATGTGAGTAGGTGAGGTGGCGGATGTGAGTAGGTGAGGCAGCGGATGTGAGTAGGTGATGCGGTGGATGTGAGTAGGTGATACAGGGGATGTGAGTAGGTGATGTGAGTAGATGATGCAGATGGATGTGAGTAGGTGATGCAGTGGATGTGAGTAGGTGATGTGAGTAGATGATGCAGATGGATGTGAGTAGGTGATGCAGTGGATGTGAGTAGGTGATGTGAGTAGATGATGCAGATGGATGTGAGTAGGTGATGCGAGGGATGGCGGGACTTCAGCTGAGAGCACAGACCGAGCTCCCTGGCCCTCCAGCCCTCACGTAGAGCTCAGTGTAGAACCTCCTCCGCACAGAAGGGTTTCCTCCAGGTTCCTTGCAAAGTGTGGCTTGGGGTGTCCTGGGCCTGGAGCCATCGTGACCACCTTGAGAAGGACGTGTGGGATCCGATCCTTCAGTCCTGCCCACTCACAAAGGAGTCTGCCGGGGTCCAGCCCCAGCGGTCCAGGGGTTCCCAAAGGTGTGGACGGAGTCGGCGAAGAGTATTTTACACGGAGACAGTGTTCAGAACTCTCTAGCTCTCTTTAGTCTCCGTGGATCTTCCCGTGCCTGGCTGAGGCCACAGAGAAAGATCCTGAGGCAAACTGAGCCTTTATTTTATAGTCGGAGGTAAACAAGGTAGTGGTTTCCATAGTTACACTGTTGTTGTGAGTTTCACTTGTTTACACTGTTCTTGTGAGTTTCACTTGTTTTTGTTCTTGTTCTTGCTGCACTTCCCTTAGCTCCCAGGTAAGATCTAGGGAGTGTCATAAGGTCAAGCCTAATTATACGGAAGAGGACTGTGCCCTCTAAGCTAGGACTTGTTTGTGACTTTGCCAACAGGTCAGTCCGAGGCTTAATCCTATATCGGCTCCCCACAGGAGCCTCCGCCTCTAGCGAGCTTCAGAACTGGCAGCTGCTTCCTCTCCCAGGTCCTGGGGGGGTTGTGTTCTGTCCTCCAAACGCCATTCCTTGGTTTGATTTGCTACTCATTACTCATTGCAGCTAACAGTCTCTTATAATTACTTGTCAGTTGTATGCTAATGAGGGAACTCTTAAACGTGTATTGAATGTCCAGTCTGGGCCACATGCTGTGCCAGGCGCTGGGGCTGGAAGAGTAAACAAAAGGATACTCCCCGGGCCCATTCATTCAGCAATATTCACCGAGAACCTAGGATGGGCAGGGACTGTCCAGGTGCTGGGTTTCAATCATGAATTCTCAGTGGGGGCAGTATCACCCCCGAGAGGGCAAAATTCCTCTTAGCAAATGTATAAAGCACAGAGGTACAGACAGTGCTATCTGTAATGTTAACATGGGTGTGGGAGCAACTAAGAAAAAATGTCTAATGCAGGGGTCCTCAAACTACGGCCCGCGGGCCACATGCAAATACAAATATTGTATTTGTTCCCGTTTTGTTTTTTTACTTCAAAATAAGATATGTGCGGTGTGCATAGGAATTTGTTCATAGTTTTTTTTTAAACTATAGTCCGGCCCTCCAACGGTCTGAGGGACAGTGAACTGGCCCCCTGTTTAAAAAGTTTGAGGACCCCTGGTAATGTGATGAAAAAAATGTCCACCTGGGTGTCGCTATTTCAGTGACCGGCTTCTAGCCACGCCGTTTCAGTCTAAGGATGAGCCAGGCGCTTCCAGACTTCCCAGCTGAGTGCCTGGTGGTCACCTGTGGTCCTTGGCTCAGGGAAGACCCTGCCACATCTCCCCTGCCCTTCCTGCCCTCATCTGCATCTTCAGATTTCTCATTCCCCATCTCTTCCTCTTCCCAGGCGCCCATCCCGGCTGCCTTCTGCTGCCCCCCTCCCCTTGTCACTCAGAAAAGTGGACCAAACCCCCAAACTCCTGGCAGACCTCGGGGCAGGGGACCCTGGACTGGGGACGCTTGACTTGTAACAAACTCCCTGGCTCTAATTCCGACAGCCAGCCCCACGCCGGGTCAGGGCACTGGCTTTGGGGAACCATCCCCAGCCAGCACTTTTATTGAAAATCAAATGAAAGAGGATGTGAAGGAAAGGTGGTTTCCAGAGGAAAGTTCTCAGCATCTGCTGTCTGTTTTCCTCTTCTCCGGCACGCAGACCAAGGAGCTTTGTGGGCTGGTGCAGACGTTAGCGCTTCTCACTCTGAGATGATATTGAGCGCAGTCGCACACCCAGGGCTCTGCCAGCCATGGCACAGGCCTCTGGGGGCGATGCTCAGACCTGCCTGAACGTGAAAATACCTCAAGGGGTGGCCCAACGGCCCCTTCCATTGAGATCTACCCAGAACCCCTCTCGGCCGCTGAGGAAGACAGGGCGGGTATTCTGGTCCCTGATTGACAGATGAGCCCTCTTCCCCCAGGGGTATTGTGTCCTCACTGTAGAGTCAAAGCCTGCAGGGAGTAGGGCTGGAATTTGAAACCAGTTGTACAGCTTGAAGGTTGCAATCTACCTACAGTAGGCGCAGAACACAGAGAGAGAATCTTGGGCTGCAATGAATACAAACCTATGCAGGCAGAGGGGAGGGGCTTTTATAAGGATACCAGAGTGAGCATCTCAAAAACATGGAAGAGCTGAGCCCTAGCTGGTGTAGCTCAGTGGATAGAGTGTCAGCCTGCGGACTGAAGGGTCCGGGGTTCGATTCCGGTCATGGGCACATGCCCGGGTTGCAGGCTCCATCCCCAGTGGGGGGCATGCAGGAGGCAGCCAATCAATGATTCTCTTTCATCATTGATGTTTCTATCTCTCCCTCTCCCTTCCTGTCTGAAATCAATTTTTTAAAATGTAAAAAAAAAAAATAACACCAAGAGCTGAAAGGGAGTCTGGCATCGTGTCTCTTATGCGCGCGTGCACACACACACACACACACACACACACACATCTGATCTGCATTGTCTTTCTGTATCTCTGCCGATCTCTCTTCAATCATGTGATAGGAAGGGATGACCTCGAGGTCCCCCAGTTCAAAGGCCCAGCCCAGGGAGCGAGTAACCTCTCAGAGCCCATTAACCCCAAATGCTGGGAGTGGTCACCTTAAAAGCCCAGCCTGTGCCAAGTGTCCCAATCAACCATGACCAGCGCCAGGGCCACACCATGGCTTCCGGGAGTCGGGCAGCGCTCGGAAAAGGGCTAAGCAGACCCTCCAATCTCCTGCGTTGTCCCTCCTATGACATCAGAGACCTAAGACACGTGCTGTTCGGGGAAAGCTTTCCGGAGAAAGATACTCCGTCACAGTGAATGTGTTCATCCTAAGACGCTCCTGGTTTGAGAAACATGAATGTTGAAAGGGAGAATGTCACCTGTACTCCTGGAAGGGTGGACACCACAAGCCTTCTGAATGCTCACCTTGGGCGGTGCGATAATGGCGGATCATTTTAGCTTCCTTTGCTCACATCTATGTGCATATATACTGTATTTTTTTAAGGAAAGATTTATTTTGAGTAAAAACAAAAAAAAATTTTGAGTGGAATGTTTGGGGATCTCACTGCACTTATAGATTTAGCGCATTTATGTCTCTTGTTGGTTCAAGGCTGGAGCCAGAAAAGCCGCCCCAAAGACAGACCAAGAAAGAGCGACGCTGAAGAGAGAGTCCCCCAGCAAACCCAGCCAGAGTCTGCAGGTCTCGAAGCCTGGCGGAAGGAACTAGAAATGCCATCGGCCGGCCTTGCAAGATCCTCTGTGAGTCGGTGTGACTCTTCTGGGTCAAAATACTAAGATGCTTTTGTAGGACGTTAAAGCGTGTTCCCCTCGTGTGTTGCTTCCGAGACTGGTATTTTGCACAATGCTGTATTTTGTTCTGTTTTTTTCTTTCTTCCTTTTTTTTTCTTCCTTTTCGTTTTTCTATTTTTTTCTGCACAATACTGTATTTTGGAATGTGTGAGGTGAGGCGTTCTTTATTAAAAATAATAATGTATAACATACGTAGGCATGTGAAGAATATAAGTTCGAAACCCAGACATATGGGTCTAGTACAGTGATGGCAAACCTATGACATGCGTGTCAGAGGTGACACGCGAGCTCATTTTTTTGGTTGATTTTTCTTTGTTAAATGGCATTTAAATATATAAAATAAGTATCAAAAATATAAGTCTTTGTTTTACTATGGTTACAAATATCAAAAAATGTCTATATGTGACACGGCACCAGAGTTAAGTTAGGGTTTTTCAAAATGCTGACACGCCGAGCTCAAAAGGTTCGCCATCACTGGCCTAGTAGATACAATTATCTGGTTCCACGTTGGAGTCCTGGCGCACCCAAATATCACACCACCAAGGAGCGCCAAGAAGCTCACAGTTAAGAAAACCCGAGACGGATACCAGGGCCACGGGCTAGGATGGTAACCGCAGGGCTGCTGTGAGTTTATTATAATAAATTCAGAACGCCAATCAGTTTTGTCGCCGCCATAATAGTGACTAACATTGATATGGCACTCGGCAGTTCTCAAAACGCTTCTCATCTAATCCTCCCCCAAGCCCGGGGAGGTAAATACTGTCGTGTTATGTTCCCCGTTTGACAGCTGAGGAGGCTGAGGCCCAGAGAGGTTAGGTGGCCTGTCTAAAATCACACAGCTAGAGAATTTAAGAGTTGGGTCTGGAATCCAGGTTTCTAGTTCCATTTCATACTACCCATCCTGCTGCACCAAGGTGGCCCCGTAACTCAGGACAGACCAAGTACCCCGTCACCAAAGAGCGCACACTGACCAGGCGGACCACACCCCTTTTTATGGTGTGTGGAGAGAACCCCATTTTTCTTGCTCTGCTCTCTACTTCTCCTGCGTTCTACTCCCTCTCCAGCCAGCCATCCTCTTACCGCCTCTCTTTATGGCCAGGACCACCAAACAAAATGGGAGGAAGAGCCGGAAGTTATGAATATCATTTATTTTTTATTTTTCAAAAGCCATAATAAAAATAATGTGATATTTCAAAACTAAATGCATGCATTATACTGATTAAAACTAGAAGGAAATAGATTTCCTTGGTGTGATATTCCACCGAAGGTCCACCTAACCCAGGGTTAGGTTCTAACGTCAGTGAGAAAGGTAGGCATTACCTGATCTTAACAACACTCTTGAAATTTCTGGAACTTTTTTAAAACATATTATTTATACTGTACCATATCCCAGAAGTCCAATTCAGCAAGTTTTTCTCCAGCATCTGAAGAGACCACTTGGGTGGGCAGTAGTTCAAGCATCTGGCTCATGTTTGGGAGCCAAATTGTATTAGGAAAAAAAATGCTTGTTGGTTGAATATTTGAATTTGCATAAGTTAAATGTAATGCCTATATGACTCCATATATTTTAGGTCTTTCTAAGGATGTGTTCAGTTTTATCCTATGAACATTATAACTCATGATGGCAATTTCTTTTCACCCTCTCTCTCCCCCTGTGCCCCCCCCCCTCTGCCCCTGCCAAACTAGGTAACTTGTTAGGTGTCTCCCCAGCCACACACCCCTTTCTCTGAGAATGCACCCGCCCTGCCTGCAAAAAGGCTTGCCCTGCCTAATACTGCTCTCTTGGCCACAGCTGGTTGGTCAAGCCAGACCAATCAGGTTTCTCTTCTAATTCAAGCTGGGCCAATCAGCACCTCTGTTTTTAGTGTTTGGAAGGGGACTCTGGGATGTCACACAAGTTATTAGTGGTCCTGGAGCTGAGAATCTGATGCAGTCCCAGGGCTGGGATGACCATTTCCTACCTTGCATTTGGAGGAACAAAGCCAGCCTTGAGAGAGAGAAGACTGGGGTAGATATGCAATGGCAGAGACAAGAAACCAAGACCCCAGAGAGACAATGTAGCAGATACTACCAGTCCCATACTTATCGCCTCCCTCTGCTGCATAAGCTGAAGGCTGGTCCCCTTGATTTCCCAGCCTCCCTTGCAGCTAGAGTTGGCCATGTTGTTCACTTCTGACCAATGACATGTAAGTGAAGGCCCCTGGGGAGGATTTCTCTTTGGCAATAAAAGGCACATCTTTGTTAGGAGAAAAGTTTTTCCTTTTCCCCTTTTCCTTGTCTCCTCTTTGTCTCCTGGAGCTCAGACTTGGAGCTGGAGCAGCCATTTGGGGATCACGAGGCAGCGAGCAAGAGGCTAAAGCCAGCCTCCAACGACAACGGAATGGAAAGATGAGAAGGGCCTGGGGCCGCATGCCTGTGCTTTGCGCCATGCCTGAACTGCCTACCTCTGTACTTCCTGTTGTGGAAGACAATAAATTTCTTCCTGTTTAAGCCACTGTAGTCGGGTGTACTTGTGGGACAAACCACTCAAAACGTAGTGAGTGAAAATAAAACGATTTATTATCTCTCAGGATTCCATGCACCAAGGTGGGCACTTGTACTGGGCTGAGCTGGCTTGGCTGGGACTGGTTTAGAAGAGCCTCATTTACATGCCTGGTCACTGGCAGGCAAGTTGGGTTAGGTCAGTGGTTAAATCACCTCAATTTGGAGTGATTTTGCTCCCCAGGGGACATCTGGCAATTTCTGGACACAATTTTTGTTCTTACAATTGGGGAGGGGGTGCTGAACATCCTAGAGTGCCCAGTGTTCCCCACAACAAGGACAAATTTGACCCAAAATTAGCAGTAGCGAGAATGAGAAACCACCATCTAGAGAGGTTACATCTGGGACAGTTTATCTCTGCTTGGGGTGGTCTCTCATGATGCAGCTGGCTAGACCAGACTTTCTTTCTTTCTTTCTTTCTTTCTTTCTTTCTTTCTTTCTTTCTTTCTTTCTTTCTTTCTTTCTTTCTTTCTTTCTTCTTTCTTTCTTCCTCCTTCTTTCCTTCCTTCCTTCCTTCCTTCCTTCCTTCCTTCCTTTCTTTTTAAATTATATTTTTACTGATTTCAGAGAGGAAGGGAGAAGGAAGGGAGAAGGAGAGAGAGATAGAAACATCAATGATGAGAGAGGATTATTGATCAGTTGCCTCCTGCATGCCCCTCCCTGGGGATCGAGCCCGAAACCTGGGCATGTGACCTGACCGGGAATCAAACCCATGACCTCCTGGTTCATAGGTCAATGCTCAACCACTGAGCCATGCCGGCCGGGCTAGACCAGGCTCTTTCATATGTGGTGGCACAGGTTCCCAAGAGCAGCAGGAGAGATCAAGCCCCAAAGTATAAACACTTACCTGCCTTGTGTTTGTTCATATCCCATCAGACAAAGCAAGTGGCCAGAGTCAGTTTGGGAGGGGCTCCGGATTTTCACAATCTACCCACGTCCAGTGCTCTGTTATTTGAAACTGACTGCAGTCCAACTGATACCAATGGAGAAAGTTGCCTTGATTCCTGATAACTTTCTGGTTCCTAATCTTTTTTCTTCAGAAAGCCAGTTCCAATGCCTGCCCCGGGGTCCCACTAGGACCCTTTGTATCACTCAAGATTCTTTGATGGCAAACAACAGAAACCTCCTGTGGCTAACTTAAGCAGAAAGGGAGTTTATTGAAAGGAAATGAGGATCTCTGGCCAGTGTGGCACAGTTGGTTGAGCGTCCTCACGTGCACCGAAAGGTTACTGGTTCAATTCCTGGTCAGGGCACATGCTCAGGTTTCGGGCTGGATCCCTGGTAGGAGGTGTGCAGGAGGCAGCTGATAGGTGTTTTGCTCTCACATGGAGGTTTCTCTCTCTCTCTCTCTCTCTCTCTCTCTCACCCTCCCTCTCTATCTCTCTCTTCCTCTCTCTCTAAAAAACTCAATTAAAATATTTTTTTAAAGAAAACAATATTTTAAAGGAAAAAATACAAAGGACGGAGGAAAGTTAGAGAATCAAAGGGCAAGCAAATCTGAGGAGTCAGGACCGTCGGGAACTGGCTTTCCCTCCCTTTCTGCTTCAGCTGGTTTGAGTTTCTGTTAGTTGCTACCAAAATGACCTTTACTGAGACACTCTGCTCCACAGCCCGCTCTGGGAAGCTACCAGAAACCTTTCCCCTGGGGTTGTATCTCGGTCCAGCAAGGGACCCGCAGCCCCTAAACCCTTCCAATCTCCTGATCCCCCAGGAAGCTAAGACAAACAACTTCCACCCTCGCCAATGGCACCCCATTTGGATTCCTGGATTCGTGACTTTGCAGATAAGGTGCCCTTCTCTAGAGACTTGGCAGAGCCGCCGAAGCCGGCTGCTGTGGAAACCAGTCCTGAAGCGTCTGCAGAAAAAAACAGCTTCCAGATCGCATTCCAAAGTGCGCTCCTGGTAAGTGGCGTGGTGTCCAAGTTGTGGGGGGTCTTAGGGATGAAAGCAACGCCCTAAGGATGAGAGGAAACCCAAACCTGCCCGGGCTAATGGGTTCCTCTGTTCCGTGCCGAGGCCTCCGAAGCAGGAGTCAGGTCACCGGGGAGGGGAAACTATTTCGGCTTATCAGCTTGGCCTCCTTTCCATCAAGATGTGCCGCTTGCATCCGTCTGCTCAGTGTCCCAAGTTATTTTGGGCCAATTCATGACCTTATGTGCCTGCTTTTGTTTTTAAGCGGTTTTTTTCTTGGCCTACCTGTTCCCCGGGAATCCACCACCGTGTCCGGTCCCGCAATGGGAAGTCTCAGCAGCCTCCTTGCCTTGAGTGTCCCCTCGGCTTCAGCCTATTGCTTTCATCCTCAGACCCTAAGATATTGGAGGCAGAACGCTTTATCTTCTAATTGTGGTCTTACCATCGCAGAAGCCAGAGGTGCTCTTGGACTGATAAATCACTTTGGTGGTTAAACCACCAGCCTTCATTCATTCAGGCAACAAATACTGGGTACCTACTATGCACCAGGTACTCATGGGTACTGTGCTAGACCTCAGGGCCTTGACCTTGCTCTGCCTTCTTTTCCTGTTCTGATCTGCTGCTCTCCTGAAGAGGGGATCATTCATTTACTGGGTATGTTGCATGGGAGAGCCCGCCTTTGGCGTTCACATCCTGCTTTTCGGCTTTCTATGGGACCACTGCTGGGTATTCTGTAGTGAGATCTGCATGCAGCAGTGACCCTTTTCCGGAAGTTTCTCTCTGCCTTTCAAGAGTTGACATTCAGTAGCTAATAATAGCAAACCTTTTTTTCTTTTTAAATGTATTTTTACTAGAGGCCCGGTGCATGAAATTCATCCCTCAGCCCACCTGCACCCTCTCGCAATCCGGGACCCCTTGGGGGATGTCCGACTGCCAGTTTAGGCCCAATCCTGCAGGAACATCCCTCTCGAAATCTGGGACCACTGCTCACCTGCCTGCCTCATCGCCCCTAACCACTCACCTGCCTGCCTGATCACCCCTAACTGCCTCTGCCTCAGCCCCCTGCCACCTCGGCTTCATCCAGAAGGACGTCTGGAATGACATCCGGAAGGTCATTCGGCTGTCCAGTCTAATTAGCATATTACGCTTTTATTATTATAGATTTGATTTCAGAGAGGAAGGGAGAGAGAGATAGAAACATCAATGATGAAAGAGAATTCATTGATCAGCTGCCTCCTGCATGCCCCACACTGGGGATGGAGCCCACAACCAGGCATGTGCCCTGACTGGGAATCAAACCGTGATCTTCTGGTTCATAGGTCAATGCTCAACCACTGAGCCACACCAGTCGGGCAATAGCAAACCTTTTACAGTGCCCTAGGCAAGCCATCAGACACTGTGCTAAGCACAGTCCAGACTTGGGTCGCACTCACTATGGTTTTACCTATGAAAACAATGAGTAGGAAGTAACCGGCCCAAGACCAAAAGCGTCAGAAGCCAGACTTTGTACCCTGAACTGCTCCACTATCTCTCTTTCTTCAGTGAAGTGCAGGACCCAGCTGGTTATCTACTACTCCATGAGGACAGGTCAGCAACTTTTCCTGTGAAGGGCCAGGCAGTAAAAGCCCCTTTCCTGTAAAGGGCCATTTCGCTATGAGGACCAGAGAGTCTCTGTCATCACTGCTCAACTCTGCCATTGCGACATGATACCCAAACAAATGAGCATGGCTGTGTTCCAATAAAACTTTATTTATAAACATAGGCAGTGGGCCAGACATGCCGGCCCTGCATTAAACTCTCACCCAGACTAGATTATTAACGTCTGCCCGGCTAGAGCCTGCTGCATGGCCACCTGGGAGGCAGGTTATCAGCATCTCCACCACTGAGAGCATTTTGAGATTTTACATAAATGTTTTCATTTAATCCTCTCAAGTATTCCAGGAGGAGATAATTATTGCCATTCTATAAACAATGAAAAGTCACCCACTGGGATTTTCAAACTCCTAACCACGACCCCACCTTGCCTTTCACCACGCCTATGCCTGGACAGCTGGGAGTTTGGCCGGTGAGTCGGAATGCCTGCTTTCCACTGGACCCAGCATGAAAGAGCTGAGTCCTCACCACACACATCCTTCCTCTAGGCCAGAGGTCGCCAACCGGTGGTCCGCAGACCACTGGTGGTCCGTGAGGTCCGAAAGGTTGGCGACTGCTGCTCTAGGCCCGTGGTCGGCAAACCGCGGCTCGCGAGCCACGTGCGGCTCTTTGGCCCCTTGAGTGTGGCTCTTCCACAAAATACCACATGCGGGCATGCACATACAGTGCGATTGAAACTTCGTGGCCCATGCGCAGAAGTCGGTATTTTGTGGAAGAGCCGGTATTTTGTGGAAGAGCCGGTATTTTGTGGAAGAACCACACTCAACGGGCCAAACAGCCGCATGTGGCTCGCAAGCCGCGGTTTGCAGAGCCGCAGTTTGCCAACCACTGTTCCAGGCAACCTGGTTCACTAGCCCCTGCTGAGAGTCACCTGCTTTCCCTAGGCTCAGGGCTCTCTCCCTCTCATCTGACTTCGCCCATCTCTGCATGGTGCCAATTTTACAATTTCCCTGTCGGGTGCCCCTGCAGCGGCCACATGCGGTGTTTATCTGCACCTCCATTTATTCCTTCCACCCCGTCTGCTGAGCAGAGAGCTCCAGATGACCTCTGGGCCACCCTGATGCCCAAGGACCAGCAGGTCACCGGCCTCAATCTGATGCCGCTGACACTGTCCTCAGGGGAGCAGGGGACGGACACTTGAGAGGTTTGTTTTTGCAGCGCTCCTGTTATCTTTTGTGTTGAGTCATGTGGGTGCATAGAGGTGTCACTTTAGCAGCTTCTCTTTCTTGGCAGTGACCTTGAGACCTAAAAATGGGCCACCGGATGCTCTGGAGGGGACACTGAGAAAGCACCCAGTCTGACCCCAGCCCCTGACAGAACAGACCATCTCGCATTCATTCATCAATGATTTCGGCCAGGCCAGGCCCCACGCTGGGCACTGAGGAGCCAACGTTGAGACAAAGGGACAGCTCCCTTCCCCAGGAAGTTGTGTTGGGCTCAGTGGGGTGGTATCAGATTTTTTTTTTTTTTTTTTTACTCCTCACTGAAGATATGCTGATTGATTTTAGAGGGAGGGGAAGGAGGAGAGAGAAAGAGAGAAACAACGATGTGAAAGAGAACATCAATTGGTTGCCTTCCATATATGCCCCAACCAAGGATCAAACCCACAACCTAGGTATGTGTCCTGACTGGGAATTGAACCCACAACCTATCGGTATACAGGACTGACACTCTAACCGACTGAGCCACCGGGCCAGGGCAGTGTCAGGTATTTTATTAGCAGCTTCATTGAGGGTGCAATACATGCTGAGTCCCAGCCACAGGCCGGAGCCTCGCCCAGCTCCCCAGCATGGGGTCCAACAAATCTCACTCTTCCAACTGCCAAGTCCTGCTCCTCCCCCACTC